CTGGGTAGTAGCCTGTGTCATGCTGGCTGTTTATCCATGCTGACACAAAGGTTTTCCAAAGTTCGCGATCCTGGGCCTGTGGCAGCCAATTTCCGAGATTGCCTACGGCTTCCCATTGGAGCTGTACCCATCTTACAGCGTCCGGCTGATTTCTAAATTAGGGTCTAGGGTTTTTAGGGTTTTAGGATTCAGGGTTTAGGGTGTAGGGTTTTAGGGTTTAGGGCTCGGGGGTGGGCCCAAGGTAGAGGGGGACCCTTAGAATCACCACGATACGTCCAACCTGTACCTGCACCTCACTTGCAGTTACAGCTCCAGCAAGACTAGAGCAAGCTACAGAGATGACTCGGACGACCCCGAAGACTCAGCTATACCCAAAACCAAACCAATCAACCTCTAATTTAGGGTTTAGTGTCCACGAGCAGCACCACCGTCACCAACAGCAGTAGCACCAGCAGCACCATCAATCACCACATGGAAGCAGGGAAGGGTGTGACTCTTTTTGGATGACTTGGGGAGGCAAATCGCACGCCCAATGCAGGCTGCACTTCGAACCTCTTGATGGTCCGTGAATAAAAAATCAGAACAATATTCTACCATCATTACGTTATATTATTCTATAATTGTCGTATTCTTGTATGCTTTCTGCAAGGTGCAAAACACGTCCCTACCATGCAAGCCCAGATGCAAGTCCTTGTTGCGGGACTTGTCCTGCAAAGGTCTGAGGAGTCTCGGAGGTGGAGGTAGCACGGATTTGCCGTAGCCGAGGTAGGTTTTTCGTTTCAAGGCCCTTGGTTGTTGTTGTTGTTCTTGTTGTTGTTGTTGTTGTTGTTGAGCAGCAGAATTGCTGGGTGAGGGCATGTCTCGTTCCATCACAACGGCTGCCAGCACGCCCATCTAACATCGTAACAAATCAGCCGCAGAGGCAAGAAAGCCAACGAGGACCCCTGGCAAGCACAATGACAGCAACGAGATGCAAGGACAACGATAAAGCAAACCAGCTGGACCCTCACAACCCTACATAGGCCCTACATCCCAAACAGAAAAACCCTGAACCTCCAATCCCGAGACCATGAACCCAAAACCTTTAAACCCTAATATCAACCCTCTAAAACACTAAGAGGTCGCACCGGGCCTTTTCTCGCAAACAAAGCACTCGTGAGCCTTCGGATATCACGGAGTTCTGCAATTCACAACCGATCGCACTCCACAGCATGTTCATGGAGTTCTGCAATTCACAACGGCTGATCGCAAGCTGGACACACAGAAGCTCCTACAGATTTACATTGGTTCAAAAACATCTTCTCTCTAACAGGGATCTGTAAAGATGAGCATGACCTCCACCACTCCCCAGCTTTCTTGGGCTTGGTGAGCAGATCAGCCCTTTGGAGCTCTGTAGGAAGCCATATCAGGGGTGCACGCGCATCCTCGTCTTGGTGTCCGCGAGTCTCAGCTTGAAGTGTTTGCCGAAGACATGCTATATCAATAGCGAGCCTTCTGTCTGACGGGGTCCTTGGGAGTCCATCCTTGTGAAAATGGTCGTAGAGCGATCGGCAGTCTGTCATTGCTACCAGGGGTATCTCCTCGCCGGATCGCCTGGTAAGGTGGCCGGAGAGAAACGAGGCAACCATTGCCCGGACATACTGTGCCAGCTCGATCCCCTCGATGCATCCCATCGTCTCTGCTCCGAAGGTCGAGCGACAAACCCGATCGCAAGCATGCGACTTCCACTCCACGATGCTGGCCGGAGCGTCTTCTCCTTGTACTGCGCCGGCTTCGGTGAACATGACCAACATTCCGAGCTGAGAGGCCACGCGGGAGTTCTTCCGCTTGGCCTTGCGCTGCTTGGTCGCCCATGGTCCATCGCGAATCACCCCTCTCTCCTCGTCTGACGGGGTCAAGAAGTACTCGGGGTCCTCATTGCAGTCTGGCGCATTCGCCCACCCGGCGTCGTGAAAGACCGCGACGATGAGCTTGTCGAGGTCGATCTTCCTGAGAACAATCGCTTCTTGTCCGTGCTGAAGAGCGCGGCGAGCAAGTAGGTTAGTGAACTTGATGTCCTCGATCGTAGGATTGGCCTGTAGTTGCTGGGCCATGCTTACTCCACAGGCCAAATCCGGTCGGGTCTGGGAGGCCAACCACGATAGCGCCCCGATCAGGGACCTGTTATCGGCAATCTGTTCTGCGCTCGCCTTGGTGTCGTCGGGAACCTTAGGGTCGACAGCCACCTCGAAGAGCCGGTTCTCGACATAGCCCCCCTGGGAGATTCGTATCTCGTCCTTTAGGACCTCGATGTGGCTGCCGATGAAATCGAAGGTGTCCGTCTCCCATTCCTCGACGGGAAAACATGTAGACAACTGTTCCTGAATGGACTTGCTTAGGGCCCGGGGTCCAATCAGCAGGATGTCGTCGACATGTACCGCGGCGTAGCACAAAGGTTTCGCGCCCTCGACCCGGTCGCCGTTGTTGTCAATCTCGATCAGCTGAAACACGCACGGGTCCAGGGGCGATGTGATAAACCTCGCAAAGGTCCCGCCTCCGATGTCGATCTTCTGGAGCTGGATGTCCTTCCGGAACTTGCGCCACCACATACGTGGCGAGTCAATTAGCCCGAAAACACCTTTGTCGATCCGGATGATCTGGGAAGGGTGCAAGCCTGGTAGTCCATGTCGGGGTTGACGTAGATAAAGTCGACGCTCGAGGGGATCACCATTGAGAAACGCTGCCGTAACGTCTCCTGCACTCACGGTCCAGTCTTGGTCCAAACGACTCGCGGCCACCTGGAGCAAGGTCATTACTGCTGTTCTGGACACGGTTGGAGAATCTGTCCTCAAAGCTCCCGTGGACACATCTGGATCGGTGTGTCCACCGATCACCAACCTGGATTTCGGTTTCCAGGGGACATTGGGGTCAGATCGCCGTTTAGCGAGATTTTTATCGCGGTAAGCGAACCTGCTCGACAGCACCCGGTCCTTCTCGGTGGCGAGAATCTTCAAGCTGGTCTCCACATCCAACGGGGTGAGAGCACCAAGTCGCAGATGCTCCTCCCATTGTCGAGCTTCGGCCTCCTGGAAAAGAGGTCTCTTATCGACCGGGATGGCATTCCAGGGGATCTCCTTCTCCAACTGCTTTTCTCGCCCGCGCTGAGTTGTAGCCCTTTTCAACATGTAGGCCTCCTGTGGTGTCTTGGTCCGCACCCGCCTCTTCACGGCGGGATGGCTGTTGGGCTCGTCCCCTTCCTCTCGCTGTCTTCGTTGACTGCCGCCTCCGATCCCGTCGATGTCCTCGTTGGGAAACTCCATCGTGATGTCCTCCTCCTCGTCGTGGGGGGAGGGCACGTAGTCGTCCATGTCGATGTCCCCCGGGAGCTCGCCGGGTTCCTCGTCGACTTGGTAGGTCTCCTCGTCATCGTGGTCATTCTCGATGAGGCGTTGTAGGTCGTCTCTCGTCGCCCGAATCGCAAAGAAGCCCCCGAGTTCCTCTGGGGAGGCCAGCCTCACGTGCTCCGGCGCGCATAGTTGACAGCGACCTCCTCGAGCGATCCAGTAGTTCTCTTGCTGTCTTCCTATAACGACCCCGGGGCCACGCCAGGCCCCCTTCTTGTTGTTCTTGTCCTTCCGCCAGTAGAAGGCCATCTCTCCGTTGGCGAGGTCCCGTCCTCGAACCCGAGCTCGTTGTAGACTTCCGCGACGTAGTTTTTCGTCGGCCCGCACCTTGTAGAACGCTATCTTGGCGGCTGCTCGGATTGCATCTCGGCGTCGCTGTGCGTCATCTGGGGTTCTCGCCATCCATTCTCCATCGTCGATCTCCTGCTCGACAATGTCCTCGTCATCGCGCGGGACCTTCCCGAACATGATCTGACAGGGGGCCCATCCGCATTTGCGGCGTAAAGTGTTCTTCGCCGAGGATGTGGCAGCAATGGCGATCTCCACCTCGTCGTTGGTCACGGACTTCTCTTCGACGATCTTCTTGAAGATCTTTTTCCACCACTTCCCATGCCGCTCGGCAAAACCGGCTTGCCAGTGTGCCTGACCAGCACTGGTCTGCAGGTCGATCCGAAACCAGTCACTAAGCCGCGAGAATGCATCTTGGATCCCGGTCTCGAGGTCCAGGGAGATCACCTTCGGCGCCCCAAAGACCTGTATCCAATGCTTCAGGAAGATCTTCTCCAGGGTGTCGCCAGTCTGGTTTGGTACCTTTACAACGACGTGGTAGCTTGACGCACAATCAATCATCGAGAGAAGTTTCTGCTTTTTGCCAGAGATGTCAAAGGCAAAGAAGATGTCTACGGCCACCACGTCGTTGAGCTCGAGCAGCTTGGGCTCGGAGGCCGGCTTCGGACTCTTCGGCCCAGAGCATCTTCGACATGTTTCACAAGCTAGGGAACGTGACCCTTTGAGGACTTCCTCGCTGGCTCCTGCTAGTCGGAGGTGTCTTGTCAAGTCGGCATTCGATGGGTGACCGAGGTTCTGGTGAAGGCGTCTGAGGATTGTCGCCACGTCCTTCTTCACATCTTTTCCGAAAGTTATTCCGCTTGCCCCTTCGCGAAGCGGACGGTCGGGTACATCCTCCTTTGGGTGATCTTCGTCGACCTCGTTGTCAAAGCTCGGGCCGTCTGCGCTCGTTGAGACCATCGCCTCATGGTAGACGTTTTCCCGGACCTTGTAGAAGTGGGTGTCGCCAAAACGGTGCTCGGTCACGTTACCGAGCTTTTGTAGTTTTCGGTACACGACCTCCGCATGCAGCCCGGATTCCTTTGAGACATCCACAACTAGGCTCCCGTGTAACAGAACATGTGCTCTGCCGCATTCATCGAGGATCTCGTGAAACTCATCTCGGGGTCGTTCATGGGCAAATCCTTGTCCTTCGTTGTAGTAGTTCACGACATCGCCTGGTGGATGAAACCACAGTACTCCAGGACGTAGAGATTCAATGGCCTCGTGTAGTCGCTGCCTTCCGTCTCTTCCAAGAACATCGCGCCATTCAAGGGGTTCGATGAAATCGACGCCATCGACCTTTGCCACTTCCATCGTCTGACTCCATCCTCCAATCTCGAAAAGTGCGGGGCCTGAGGGTCCTTCGGGAAAGAGATGCATCCTTGCAGAGGACAAAGAAGTCAGTGACCACGTCAGAAAAGCACTGGCTCGGATGGCGGTCTTCCACAAGGACTTGCGAGTGCTGTACTTAGGCATCAGTTTCGGGACTCCAGACTCCTTGTCCCTGTTGTCGTGGAAGGTCCGGAGCATCTTGCGGTCGGGGGTCAGGTGTCTCAGATCCGGTACTGGAAACCCCCATTGGCGAAGTCGCTTCTTCTCATTCTTGGTGCTCTCGACGATGGACCTCGTAGTAAAGCAGGCCACCATCCATCTGTGTCCATCCTTCCATGTTTCAGTAGCGTGTCGGAAGTCTGCGCGTAATACAGCAACTTCTCCCTTGGTAGGCAGCACGGTTCCAGTGATCGCGTTCCCTTTCTCGTCCTCGAGGTAGGCCTTGGTAAAGTCTTTTCTGTCGCTGGCCTGTAGCGGGGCTTCGCACCACACTCCTCCTCCAACGTAATTGCCTCCGCATGTAACGTAGTTGTAGGTCCCCTTCAGATTGTTCCGGTCGGTGTGCATGCTGGCCTTCTGGTCAAGGGAAATGCACAGTGAAGTCCATCTTGCCTCGGGACAACGATGGTGGATGTAGTGCTTCAGGTAAATTGCCAGGGACGCATAGTCAGCAGTTCGGTTGCATATCCCCCGGAAGTTGCCTTGGCTGTAGTATCCCAGAGTAAGACGACGACTTGGATCATCGCCCTCCTTAAAGGTGCCTGGACGTGCCGAGGACGATCTTCGGGGAAAGAGTTCTCCTTCAGGGCCAAACAGTGTTTCCAGGATGAGCGTCAAAGTTTCTTGGGAGAAGTCCTCAGCGAGGAGGCGGTCCTTGATGAGCTCTTCGACGGGATCGGCGAGGATCGTCACCTGGTCGGGGTCCCCAGCTTCGGAATCTAGATCTGAGTCACCAAGGGTTTCGGCATTGGCATCGGTTGTCTCCCTGTGACAAGTCTCGCATCCGTCTGTGTCCGCGTCCTTGTGGTAGGTCTCGTTCTCGTTCCCTATCTCACCAGATAGCAGGCATCCTGGAACAGATCCGGCATTTTGACCATCGCCTTCATCTGGAACCTTGACGGTGCGGTTGTAGTAGATCTCGTCCTCATCCGTTGCCGCCTTGTCCGACTGCAATCCACATCCCAGTGGTTCGTAGCTGGGGAGGTAGTAGAGCTCGTCTTCGGTGACGCCTTGGACGCGGTTCTCGGCCTCCTTGTAGTCGAGCTCGTCAACGAACTTCACAGACCGCCGTCGTCGTGATCCTGTGGTCCCATCTGTTGCTTCAGAGCAGCGAGGCGGGTCTCGAGGGCCTGGATCTCCTCCTTCATTTCCTGAGGTGGTTCGATCCCCATGCGGGCGACTCCTTTGTCCATCTCTGGCCTTCGCTTCCCGGTGCGTTGGGAACTCGAGCTCGCCGGCGTGATCATCACGGCCTTCGCGGTCGGAATGGGTAGCTGGAGCCCCTTGGCAACCTCCTTGGCGTATCCCTTCCCCTTCTTTTCTGCCATGGATCGTACCTCGGCCCATGACAAGTCGCTGCTCCCCGCGCTCGACGCGAAGTCCTCGGGATTGATCACCGCATACTTCTCCGGATTGGTCATCTTCTCCAGGATCGTCGGCTCCTCCTCGAAGTCCTTGTTCGTCTGGTTCCTGAACCACATCACGTAGCGCTTCAGGTCCGGGTGCATGTTGGCCCCGTTGGCCTTCTCTTCCTGATCGGCCCACCTGCCGTAGGAGATGGGGATCTGCTCGTAGGTGTTGCCCTTGTGCTTGCCAATGGTCATGACCGTCGACGGGGGTGTCGCGTAGTAGTCCCGGATGTTCCGCATGAGCGCTCCTCTCGTGGCCTTCTCGCTGTACGGGAGACCCACGCGGTCCGCTTCCAGCTTCAAGTCCGCCAACCGCATGGATGACAGTCCCTTCGGCAGTCCATGAACCTTGGTTTCCTGCTTCATCTCGGTGATTGCACTCCGAAGCTCCACATTGGTCCACCCCGGTAAAGGAGAGAGACCCATCGCCGTCGCCTCGGCCAGCAGCTCGGTCCTCGAAAGCTGCCATGTTGGGCGCTGGGCCATCGCACGACGCGATCGGGGAGGAGGAGCTGGGATCACAAAGTTCTCTACGATTGAACACTGTTCGGCCGACCCACAAGCATTGGTGACAAGGCTTCGCGAGATGACGGACTCCTTCCCACATGTCATGAACTGTCGGCAGTCCTCGAAGTGTCTTGCAGCTAACAGCGTGTGTGGCCCTGACGCTACCAAGCACTCGATGGAGGTTATCACGAAGTAGTGACTGGGAAGTTTGCCAATTGTCCGTAGAGAAAAAGGTCTTCCGGGGTATCACGTGAATTCTGATCAGTGAAAACTCGGTCTCTAGCCAGAAGTCGGATGAGATCTTTGTGGTTTGCCACCATCTGATGAAGCCGTCTACAGGAAGAACATCACTGCTAAGAAGATTCTTGATTTCGGGAGGGATCTTCTTCTCATAGAAAACCTGTGGGTACGACACATTCACAACGGGGTCCGCTGTACCTACCATGTACGCGCGCTGAGGCTCGATGATCTGAATCTCTCCTCGGATGCACTTGCTGGCATCCCACGCCTTTGGCTGTGCGCAAACAGGAACGCCACTCGGCCCATGATGTACATTCAGGGCTGGGTGACCACTCGTCGTTGTCTCCAGGGCTAGCTCTTTTACCCACACTGTCCTGAAGTCCGCCACGTGGAGGTCCATGTCGTAAATCATGCCGAGGGACGCCAGGGCGCTGCGACTGATGAGAAGTGGAAGGTCGCCATGCACGACGGCGGCTCGGATCAGCACCCACTGGTCCCCGAGTTTCACCGGGACAGCAACGGCATACGTAGCATGGTATACCCGAGAAGCCCCGAAGCGGAAACTGTCCTGCTCTTTCAGCAGTGGTACTTCGACACCGAGCTGTTTCATGTAGTCGACGAACCTCTGCAGCCACGAAGTTCCCATCACCGATTTGGTGCATGCACAGTCCGTGATGGCCAGGAGCCTGTCGCCGATCGTCTGACTAGTCTCGAAGATTGCATGGGCGGTCTGCACATTCTCCTTGGGATTCTCGCGCCCCTTGGCTGCATTGGCGGGGCACTGAGGGTCTCTGTGCCAGTGCCCTTTCTGCTTACAGACACTGCAGTAGGATTTAGATTTCGCCAGAGCGATCTTGTCCTCCGTGGCCTTGCGCAGGGCTTCCTGGTCCAAGCCCCTCGCCTTTAACACATCCTTGTACTGCATCTTGGCGGTCATGTACGCCTCGTACACCTCCCCAGCCTCCGTGTCGCCGTTCTCGAAAGGGAACTCGTCCAGGGAGCCGTCTTCACTGATTCGGTCTGTGTTGTGAACGGTGTTGGGCTTTGCTCCTCGGTCCCAAAGTCGCCCGCGATCTCGGTCCCAGGCCTTCTTGAGACTCTTCTCGTGTAGGACTGCCGCCCGTTGTAGCTTTGTTGTGACATACTCGTTGGAAACGCTTCCCAAGATCGACAGCTCCTCGGCCTGAGTGAGGCCAAGCGCCTGTAAGTAGGCCCAAGCTCGCGCCGTCTCCGGTAGCTTGCAGTCCACCTCCAACAGTCTGGCATATGACCTGTCGAAAAGGCCGTTGAACTCGCGGATCGACTGCTGAGGTCCTCGCCGTAGTTTCTTGAAGAAGCCATTGAGGGCCTCGCCAATCTTTCCAACTTCAACCTCCTGGTAGCGTTCCATGACCCAGCTTTTGAAGTGCTCGATGCCGTTGTCACACGCCAGCTCGGACACCTGTAGCTCCTCGGCCTCGATCCATGCGCGTCCCTGGAGGTTCTGGTAGAGCAGCAAGGCCTGGCGATCACGAGGTGTTCGGGTGAGCTTTGACCAGGCGTCTATCTGACGGATATACGACCTCGCACTGCAGCCCAGCTTCTCCCCAACGTCTTCTGCGGCGAAGATGGGAACGCTCACCTTCTCGTTGATTCCACCTCGTCGCTCGCCGACACCGACTCCATCGATGCCATTTCGATTCTCCCTGTCCCCTCCTGGTACGGCGGGGTCGCCATCGCCGCCCCATGTTGCGCCCGAACTCCTCCTTGTAGTAGACGCTGAAGTCGTCCGTTGCCATCCCGTAGTCCGCCGAGTAGGTTGCGCGTCTGCGCCCGGGTCCGGGTCTCCGGAGGATCCTGTAGTAGTCGTAGACGGCGTGGTCCAGTTTCCTGTGTTCCAGCCCGTCCACCATCCGTGGTCGTTCCATCTGATAGCGTGCGGATCTTCGCTGTGATCTCGTTCTTCTGTCGGGGAATCCGGAGTCATAGATGGGCCGGTCCACGGCTCATAGTTCCATCCACGTCGCCACCAATCGTTGTCTCCACCGTTCCGAAGGCTTTCTCCATATCCTCGCCATTTGTGGCGGTCCCAACCGCCATCATAGTCGTCCCAGCCTTCGCCGGCACGGCCATCATCATCGCGAGGAAGCTCACCATGGTCTGCTTGACTCCCTTCGGCTGTTGCAGCGGGATCCATTCTCGCTCCAGCAGGAGCCTCCCCAGGATCGCCTCTTCTCCATGCCCGGCGTCCTCTCATGGACGAAGGGCCGTCATTGGCATGAAGATCTTCACCTTGTCGATGCACGCGCTGCGCCGCCTCGGCCCAAGGATCAACAGGAACAGGTTCGACACGTGAGTCGCCGCCACCGGCAGCCGACATGAAGAGCCCGCAGGCTCCGATACCAATCTAAAACACTAAGAGGTCGCACCGGGCCTTTTCTCGCAAACAAAGCACTCGTGAGCCTTCGGATATCACGGAGTTCTGCAATTCACAACCGATCGCACTCCACAGCATGTTCATGGAGTTCTGCAATTCACAACGGCTGATCGCAAGCTGGACACACAGAAGCTCCTACAGATTTACAAACCCTAAATCCCAAAACCCTAAAAGTCATATCCCAGGACCCTAAAGTCCTCCTTCTGCGCGGAGAAGAAGCCCGGCTCGTCCAGGAAAGACCATCCCGAGATTACGGACATGGTGGGAACCTCTTTGATCAGGGCTTTCATGTAGCAATGTCTTGGCCTTAAGGATTAAGAGCCGTAATAATGATCCATCCATATTCAGACATATTCAGACCTTTCTGAGACCTGTATAGTAGATGTGTGTGCGTGTTTATGTATATGGGGGGGAGGTTCTTTCGTGGGTTTGGTGGGGCTTCAGTGCTTTTCGGATGTTCGATGTTTGAAGCGGCTTTTGGAGCTTGGAGGTTTGAGAGTTTGGAGTCGGGGTTTAGGGCTTAGGGCCTAGGGGCGGTTTAGGGTTTAGGGTCTGGGGTTTAGGGTTTACACTCTCACAACTCAGGATTTTTTTTTTGCCTCACAACTCAGGGTTTAGGGTTTGGGGTTTAGGGTCTGGGGCTTAGGGCTTAGAGCCTCCAGGGCTTCTCTGGCTTGGTGCTCCTCGTCCGGGTTGTACAGCTCGGGATACTTCAGCTTTGCTTTCTTGGTGGCTTAATGATTAGAATAGGGTTTAGGGGGGTTCCTTTAAAGGGTTCCTTAAAGGGCTCCATAAGGGCTACTATAAGGGTTTAGGGTTTTGGGGGTTCCTTTAAGGGGTTCCTTAAAGGGTTCCATAAGGGCTACTATAAGGGTTTAGGGTTTTGGGGGCCGGTACACTACGCACGGTAGGTCTGACTATGGTCTCTGGGGCAACAGAATAGAATATCTTGTGATATAATGTCTGTAACAGAATGGAGGGCACATATAAATACAAATACATTCATAAACAAAACAACAAATCAATTTAGTATTAAGCGTATATATATATATATACAACTGTATAAATATAAAAATATATATATATATATATACATGTAGAGAGAGAGAGAGAGATATTTTATCTTATTCGTTTACATGTTCATATCTCGCGATATGACTAATTATATATGCAAACGGTAAACACAAGGGCACGGTAAACCTTAAACCCGAAACCCTAGGCCGTAATCGTGGATGTTTCCAACCTGGCATGTGGATCGAAAGCTTCCGGAAGCCACAAGTGCGGTCCTTCTGTATGTTTTATTTCTGGGACCCCTCGTCTCGCCCTAAACCCTAAAGCCTAAACCCTAAACCCTAAAGTAGCCGGACTGAAACATACATCCTGACGCTGGCAAACTTTGCCGTCTAGTTGGGCCCTGGCAAACATCTACTCAGAGCCCAACAACGCACCTGTCTTAGAAACCCTGGAAGAAAGTTCCCGCAAAGGGGCTATATGCTTATGTGAGTTTTGTGCTATTTCAGTCCCCATGCCAACGGCAACTGGGTCCCCAAACTCATGCGGGAGCCTGAGAACATAGAATCGGCACCCTTACACCAACCCTGAATATCGGGATCCTTAATACAAGAACCCCTACATTCAATAATCACCACAGACTGACCATAACGAGGGGCACTGCGCGCAGCAAGGGGAGAGCAAGCCGGCTGGTGGAAAAAGCTGAGAGGTCAGCGAACGGTATGCTTGTGTCGGCAACGCCGGATACTGCAAGGTTTTTACTAGGGCAACTGTGAAGGGGTGTTTATGTTCGTTCGCGTGCAATACTTGAGAGCCGAAATGCAATTCAAAACGCGCAACGGGTATATCGAAAAGATCTGCTGGAAATGTCAAGCATTTTCAACTGCGAACTGCCTGGCTGCTCGTCTCCATGACCGGACAGATCGCCGCTCCCAGGTTTGCACTCGCTTTTCGTTTTGATCCCGGCGAGCTTTACGTTGGGTACAGTCTTTACGGGGCACACGCACAGCTACCAAAGCGCCATCCTGCCACTATGGTTTTTGTCACTCCCTCAGCAAAGGCCCATCATAACAGACCAGCACCTTCTAGATACTGCCTGTGCTTACTCAGCATCAAACACCTACATATGCGTCATTCTGAATAGGGTTATCATAGCAGCTGGTGTGACCAGCCGTTCACCATCTGGGCCTCTGCAGCTGTGGGCTTCAAGCATTGGAATCATACGGCAGTGGGTCGGCTCATTGCCCAAAACAGCGCCCCTTGATTAAGCAATCCTGATTCTGAAGAAGGCGCTTGAAGGCACGGCGTAATTTACTGTAGCTTTATGACACGAAGTCTCCGACCTTGCCATGTCGAGTCTAGGGCATCAGAGCTTGGGGATTGCTATGCTGATCAGAATCCGGCCGTTCTTGTTGGAAAGGCTTCCATCCTGCAAAATCCAGCTGCGACGGTGACAGAGATGAGAACAGGGAGACTCTACCGATACTAGTACATAAGTCATGACGAAGAACACTAGAAGAACATGGAAGCAGCTAACGCGACAACCGAAAACACCACTGCTCATGAACGTCAACATTGGTCGGGCTCGCTCTGTCAAAACCGCAAGCCTTACAAAAACTGAAACCACTGAGCGCAAATTTTGGTGGCATCAACCACTCAACCCGGCATGTAACACAGCTTCCCCTGGGTAATTGTCCGAAGTCGTGACAACTCGACTCTGCCGGAGCGGATTGACAGGAGCCTGGTGCAAGTTGTACATGCCCATATCCTTCCTTGGCACCCGGCAGCGAAATTCTGTGCGGGTTTTGGGACATATAGGGTTTGACGGCTTCCTGCTCCTATATTTGTGCTCCTACGACGACGACTATTACCGCTACTTTTACCACAACAACTACTACTACTACTACTACTACTCCTGCTGCTGCTGCTGCTGCTACTACTACCACCACTACTTTTACCACAACAACAAATACTGGTACTACTGCTGGTGCTACTACTACTACTACTACTACTACTACTGCTACTACTACTGCCACTGCCACTGCTACTGTTACTGCTGCTACTACTACTACTACTACTGCTGCCGCCGCTGCTGCTGCCACTGCTACTGCTACTGCTACTACCACTACTTCCACTACTTCCACTACTTCCACTACTACCACTACTACCACTACTACCACTACTACCACTACTACTACTACTACTACTACTACTACTACTACTACATCTCCACTCCTACTGGCACTGGTACTACGACGACGGCAGCTACTAGCACCACTTCTGGTCCTGCAAGGGCAGAGACGACGTCGATGGATGTCGATGGTGTTACATACCGCGGTTCATAGCTGGGCTATGCCTTAACAAGACTGAACTCGACATAATGACCGGGTGTCACTGCCTCTGCGCTTCGAGAACGGCTCACGCGTTGCAACTCATGTCAGAGGATCTTGATATTCCGCAATCCTCTATCGAAGGAAGCTGGGTCCGGAGCGTGAGGCTGTTGAAATCGACGAGATACCTGACGTTGGCAGCGACTCCTCACCAACCACAGTCCAACCGAACTGAAAATAAAATATTGCCCGACCAATGTGGGGCCGGCGAGCACGGACTACTGTCGCAAAGCCCTGTAAAGGTGGAGGCTGCAGCAACCTGTTAGGATCTACATGTGTGTGTTTCTTTCACATATCTATGCATTTTTAATACTTACACCAAAAATGGATCTCTCTCTATTTAGATAGATATGTGTATGGTTTTTCACAATTTTCTGACACTCCTATATTTCTAGCTGAGCTGCCGGTGGCCGCCGAAGCGAAGCTCGCATGCCTCTGCGAGCAAAGAGGAGACCCAAAAGATGTCTGTTCTTGCTGTCGGTGTAGGGTTCAAGGCGAAGGGTTATTTAGGGTTCAGGTTTCAGGGCTGTTGTGGTTGTTCGGGTAATCATCAATGCTGTTGTTGCTGTTGTTGCTGCAGCCTTCGCTGTTTGCTTGCTGGTGTTGATCTTGTTGTTGCCAGTGTTGTCCTATTTTGAAGTACACACATAACACCGTACGCCAAGGCATGCTCTGGCGTACTTCCAGAATTCCGGAACCCACGGAGACCAATCGCTTCTAATTACATCCATGAACGCTTGGTGCTACCCTTACCACCACCACTGCCACTGCCACAGCACTAGTATTCACTAGTACTTTCTTAGTACTTATTCTTGTCTGGTCTCTGCTTCTACCAGCACCACCGATCAGAATGCTTTGGCTCGCTGCGCCACCCTCAAGGGAGGCCTCCTTCCCAGCTGCCATAGCTGCACGCAAGCGCACGTCGCTGTCGGCACTGAAGGGCACCCATCTGGCCCAGCAGGTGCTCATGAGTTTAGCTTCAAGGTGAAGACTTGTCGGGATTTGTCGGACCGAAAGGGTTTTTGGTTTGAAGGCTCTTTTCCTCTGCGGAAGCGTCCAAACCCCACAGGTGGGGAAGCCGTTACCTAGGGCCTCTCTTCTTCCCACGCGCGGTTTCCACACCACATAACCCCAGAACCGCGCACCTCGGAGCAAACTTGACAAGACTAGGCACAAACTATTTAGGCCGACATCTTCATAAGCAATCTGTGACCCCCTGGCATCTATTGTTAATCCGTTCTGCCAACCTCGCTAGCACCCACTCTCCCAAATGCCGCGCCTCCTGGACTCGATATACCACCTAACCAGACGTAAAGTGAGGCAGGGTCTAAATGGCCCTAAACCCTAAACCCTAAACCCTAAACCCTAAACCCTAAACCCTAAACCCTAAACCCTAAACCGCTGCATCATCATGCCGCCCCAACTCTCGGCACCGATTAGGAAAGCTCTCGCGATGAACCGTAGAAGTCCCATAGACTAACCTGAACCCCTAGAACCTAAACCCTAAACCCTACACCCTTGTAACGGTTTAGGGTTTAGGGTTTAGGGTTTAGGGTTTAGGGTTTAGGGTTTAGGGTTTAGGGCACAACCCTAAACCCCTAAACCCTGAACCCTAAACCTCTAAAACCCTGAACTCCACGGACGTTCAGGTTTTGGGGTTGCAACCTTGAAGCCGACTAGTGCAGGGGCTTTGTATAGTAAAGTGACACATGCATATGCATATGTGACATATGTGTATGCATGTGTAGATGTATATGTATATCTTAAACTGACTAACTAACTAACTAACTAAAATAATTAATAGATAAACAAATAAATAAATAAATATATATATTAATATTATGTACCTGTGTATATAA